CCCCAAAACCCCAAAACCCCAAAACCCCAAAACCCCAAAACCCCTAGTTTCCATATCGAATAGCTAGTAGTTAAACTGAATATAAATATAAACAATAATAATTGATAATGAGGCTAAAAATGAAAATACTACTAATAATACTAGTATGTCTGGCTTAAGAAACCATCTAAGACGTAACCAAAGCTAAGAATCTCATTTCACAGTCAACTTAGCTAAATGTACCTTGCCAGGTCGATGACGATTGCAACCCTCCCTATATTATTTGCTCAGGTGAATCCAAGTTGTGCGAACACAAGGGAATATTTCCAATATATGAAAGAGAACTAGCAGGCATTTTGATTATACCATGCTTACTGTCTTTATTCTCAATTGCAGGTCTTGGTGGGGGTGGGGTAATTATTCCTCTTTCCATGATATTCTTTGTCTTTGATACAAAAAATGCAATAGCTATTAGTAACTTTGCAATCTTTACTTGCTCTGTGACTAGATACTTATACACCCTAGACAAAAAGAACCCTGAAAAGAAAGAATATGTGTTAATTGATTACAACATTGCTATAGTTATGCTACCTACTGTTATGATGGGGTCACTCACAGGTGTATTTCTCAACATCATTCTTCCTGCTATAGTCTTACAGCTTATTTTAACTGCTTTGCTTGTTTTCCTTGGCATTCAGAGTCTTATGAAAGGTAAAGATATGTATAAGAAAGAAACCATCAAGTTCGAGCAAGAGTCACTCAAGAAGAAAAATCTTGAAAATTCATTGACTTAAGTCAAAAATGATGAAAGCTAGCATTTATTAAGTAGACATTAGTAACAAGATAATTAAGCATAAACTTCGAGTCAATATAAAGCAGTGAATAACTTTGAAATTGAAGCTGGGACTCCATAGATCTCGTAGAGAGAAGGACTTGACTACAATTCTCTCGAATGCAAAAGACTAGAGCATATTATAGAGAAGGAGAAGACGCACTTTTAATGGGATAAACATTTTACTTGCATTTCGATATTCCTGATCCTCCTTTCTACTAATTTACTAAGAGGCAATAAATCACTGGAGTCAATAGTTGGGATAGATAGATGTAGCTCACTTGACTGGATCGTGCTCGCTTGCTTCTATGTTGCTTGCTTTAGTATAACAATGTATTCTATAAGTAAAGTAAGGACTTAGCAAGCGCTCAAGCTAAAGTATAATAAAGGTTTGGCTAAGTGTGATATAATCATGACAAATCGCAATACTTTAAGGTTATTTATCTTTTCATTCATTGGTGGCTGGATATCTGGTGCTCTTGGTCTTGGAGGAGGAGCAATTTTTAATCCAATACTTATTGGGTTAGGTACTCCTCCAGCAGTCGCTACTGCTACAAGCATGTACATGATATCTTTTTCTAGTGCTGGCTCAACAGTGACTTACATTATTTATGGTCTTATAAACATTCCATTTTCAATCTGGGTTGGTATAGTTGGTTCATTTGGAGCAACTGGAGGACTTGCTTTATTCAATGTAGTGACTAAAAAGTACAATAGGCAATCATTAATTGTATTCGTTCTTAGCGGAGTTTTAGTTTTTTCAGCTTTACTAGTGCCTTTGTTTGGTGGATTAGATCTCCTTAAGTTGATTGATAGAGGAGAAGACATTTTTGAGATCCATTCAATTTGCTAGTGAAATTACATTAATTGATGAGCATCGATTATATTTCATGAATCCTTAATTTTTGATGATATAAGATACATGGGGTTTTGGGGTTTTGGGGTTTTGGGG